AGTTAACATTCAAGAATATTTTAAACAAGATTACTGTGTTTTGACATCCTAACAAAAGTTGTTTTTATGCAGAAAAATAAGGAAAGAAAGAAGAGTATCCTTTTAATATTAGTGAAACAAATATTTGTAATTGGATTGTCTTAGATTCGGTACTCTCTATGAACTCTAAATAGGGTACATAACCTACTTACAGAAACAACTGAATGATTGAAATAAAAGGAATTTCAGAAGCCATACAAGGCAATTAAAGATAAAAGAAATTGCAATGAGAGGCCAGTATGATTGATAGGCGTTTCAGTCTGAAATAAGAAAATGAGGTTTGTTTGTTTCAAATTAGTATCATACATTTTGGGTTTTTTTCTTCTTTGTTAATGATATGTAAAATATTTTATTTTTAAAAATTAGTGTTATCATAGACTCCACTGAAGAAATTGGAGGACTATTAGATGATGAAACAAAGAACTTACTTTATTATAATATGCACAAAGACTGATTAATCACTGTTTACCCATCCTTTTATTCTCTTCTAGGAACTCTATGTGTAGATAATAAACTAGCTTCTTGGCAACCGAAATTTGCAAAACTAATATAATTACCTGAGTTTGAGTACTTAATTCTGATATTGAGAATGATGTGGCCAGATATATGCACTGAAAATTTCCTTCAGGAATGGGATTCCAAGAGTTTCAGAAGGAATTAACATCAATTAACATTGTGATGAGGAAATTATTTACTTTTCTATAGGCTGAGGCAAACAAATCCAAAAATATGTATAGAAGAATATTTTTACATTTTGAATTAAGCAGATTGTGCCCATGTTTTCTAAACACATTATAAAATTCACAGAATTAAATAAAAACTCTAATTTTAGAGATTTAGAATTGGAAGGGAACCAAATTGCTTCAAGATCTAAATTGACCATCTTGGTGTAGATGCTGTGGTGCTGGGCTTTGAAATGCTGATTCAGATGCCAGCACTGCATACTTGAATGTCTGGTTCCAATTCCTGTTACACTGTAATTCCAATCCAGTTTCTTCATAGTGCTCCTGGTAGTTACTGTATGATGGCTCAAGTACATGGGTTCCTGCCACTTACATGGGAGATTTGGTGGAGGCCCGAGATCCTGCCTTGGCCTCACCTACTCTTGGCTGTTGTGGCCATTAGGGAGGTAAAGAATGTGTGGAAGATCTCTCTCTCTCTTTCTCTCAACAACTCTGCCTTTCAATAAAAAATAAATATTTTAGAAAAAGGAAAATTAATTATAACAGTTTATTAATTTCATTCAATGGGCTCAGAAACTGAAGCTCAAAAAAGATTTTTTTTAATCCATAGCCACACAGCCCCAGAGTGACACAGCCAAGAGTAGAATCTTTGGCTCACAATTCAGTGTTCTTTTCGTTGTGCCAATTGTTAAACACATAAATAGAATAATTAACGTAGTAGAGGCTGTGATGTGCTTCCTCGTACTACCTCCCTTTGCTGAAACACACAAGCACTTTCAGGGATGAATTCTTCATTTTCTCAATAGCTGAAAATATTGGCAATTATTAGCTCTCAAATAAACTTCTCTCCAAGAATTTCACTCTGCAATGTTAAAAAAAAGAAAGTGAGGAGGCTACTCTTTTGAAGTTATAGGTCTTCCTTGAGCCTACCAATTTCTAATAGCTGATACAAGAGCCCTCCCAACCACTTGGCTGAACTGTAGATGACTACAAAGAACCATCCAACTTTCAATCTCCCTATGAGATCAATTGAGAAATTTAAGTTTATATAATTGAATTTCTCCCCTCTTCCTAACTCTACTTCCTGAATTCCTCCTTAGTTGTTGATGAGAGAATATTCCCAAATAAGTTTCTCACATATATCTATCACAGAATCTGTGTTCTGGGGAATTAAACTATACCAATAAATTTAAAATTATTTAAATATTCATCCCTTATTTCAAGTCAAAATAGAAGTATTCACAGTGCTTGAGATTCTGAAAGAAGAAATTGTCACTTAACAAAGTCAAGGTCTTTTTGTTCACTTTATATTGTTACTGTGATTATTGTTGTCCGCAAGATAACTATGCTTCAAATATAATATTAGGCAATGCAGGGGCCAAGGCCATGGTGTAGTGCATAAAACAGCCACCTCCAGTGCTGGCATCCCAGATGGGCACCGGTTCATGTTCTGGCTGCTCCAGTTCTGATCCAGTTCTCTGCTATGGCCTGGGAAAACAGTAGAAGATGGCCCAAGTCCTTGGGCCCCTGCATCTGTATGGAAGATCCAGAAGAAGCTCCTGGCTCCTGGCTTTGGATCGGCTTAGCTCTGACCATTGTGGCCAGTTGGGGAGTGAACCAGTGGATGGAAGACCTTTCTCTCTCCCTCTCTATCTCTGCCTGTCCTCTCTCTGTTTAACTCTTTCGAATAAAATATGTCCTTTAAAATTATTAGGCAATGTATACAGAGTAATTCTTTCAATATTCACCATAATTGTGTATGAAGATATAAATATGAATATGGATCTTTCTGTCACTGATGAGGAAATTGGAGACTTAGGAAAGTTATAAACTTCTGTAATTACTCAATTGGAAAGTATGATTCTGGCTCTTTCTCAAACTAGAATTTAAGCCATCTGGGGGCAAAATCCTGGTCTTTTAATGAATACTATTATTTCTCATCAGGTATATATACCACCTTGGTCTTAGTAGTGCTCAATAATAAATATTTGCTACATGAATAAATGAATCCACAGTTGGCTACAAATTTAACTCCTATGCTATAGAGTATGCCCTGTACACTCTGAATCTTGGAGTTAATGATGAACATAACAGAGAATTTAAAAAGGAAAAAAGATGTTCAAAATGTCAAAAAGCAAACTATACCAAATAAACAGCAATGGGCGATTACCAGTTTATTTTTCTCCAAAAACTGAGAATGAGATTTCTCATTCTGTTTCTTGTTATGAGAGTCACATAGATCCTGTGAGTGTCAGATATGATACTAGAGAAATGACACTGAGGCTGATTGTGAAACTGAGTTATTTGATCCTTTTCAACATCTTTATTAAAACTGTTTATTCATTTTAATGTAATATCCTATGAGGGAAAACTGATTACATAAAAAAATCAATGAACATTCACCCAAATGTAACATTAAAGTACAGGAAATGAATTCTCCACCTACCTTTGTTACTATCCCGGACAGCATCTGTGAAAACAAAAATTAAAAATATCATCACCAAAAATGATTATGACTTGCCACCAAAAAACAGCATTAATGAAAAAATTACCAGTGGTATTACCTTTATGGGTTTATGAATATCTATTTTTTCCCAAAACAAAGTTTTTCTAATAATATTTTGCAAGCAGCACCCATAATATGCCTTTAACAGTTGGCTATAGATATTAAGCATGGAGTTTGTTGGTAACAGACTCAACAGTTACATAAATATGTTATGTAAGGTCGCAGAAATAGATAGAAAATATATGCTCACATTTCTAAGTACATCCAAAACCAAGAGTGTTGGAAACGATCCAAGCAGAGAGCTAGAGAAAAGTTCCTGAGCAATGAAAATTGAATCAAAACTATTTTTTCCATTTACTCCCAAGAAAGTCCATCAGGCATCTCTTATGAGTTTTGCAGTGCTCTTTAAGAAGTCATTTATTTATTTGAAAGGCAGAGTACACAGGGAGTGAGGAAGAGAAAAAGAGAAAGCTACCATTAGTTAGTTCACTCCCCAAGTAGCTGCAAAAACCAGGGTTAAACCAGGTAGATGGCTAGGAGCCAAGAGCTTCATCTAAATCTCCCACCTGGGTGCCAGTGGACCAACCACTTGGGCCATCCTCCACTGCTTTTCCCAGGCCATTAACAGGGAGTTGGATTGGAAGCAGAGTAGCTGAAACATCAACCGATGCCCATATCATATGCTGTTGTAACAGGCATTGGCTTTACCCACCATACCACAATGCCGACTCCCACATACATGCAGTTATACATGCATTTACTAGCATGGCTGTTTCTACTCCAAATGGAAAAGTTGAAATGACAAATCGGCAGTCATTTAGGGTTCCACTATAAGAAGTACACGGATAATAAGCAATAATGATGGCAGTTTGCTACAACCATCAGAGAAGGAAGGAACGGAGGGAGGGAGACCTGGGTAGTGAAATACTTGTAATCATTAAGTATAAGGACATCCTTATTAGGCCATGGTTTGGCAGGAAAGAATGCAAAGAGATCCATTTAAGTAATGATAACCTTGAAACATCCATTCCAATGACAATATTGTTCTGAATATGATTCATTTTATAAAAAATGTGATTCGTTTTCTGAAAGTTCCCATGGAAATACTGGAAGAAGGAGGGAACCGGTAGTTAATCAAGCACTCTGACTGTCCTACACTAGCGATAGGGTATGAACAAATGGTACTGTAGTTTTCCAGTGACAGAATGTACCTTAAAAGCCTTGTGAGAACTGAATATATAGGGTCACTAGCCGAGTGCCTGACATATAATACACAGTTCATGAATATCATGTATTGTTATGACCAACAGATAAACTTTGTTTATTAAAGATTCATTAACTGCTTAACACGTGTGGAGCGATGTGTTTAGGAGGATAGATTGGATACTAAGACAACTGGCTGGCCTGAGGCTGCATTTTGACGAAACAGTAGCAAGGACTGACCATTAAGGGGTATGAGGAAAAACAAGAAGACAAAAATAATGTTCAATGGGTGGTGGAACCTACATACCTGAGCCATCACCTTCTGCCTTGCAGACTGTGCATCACCAGGAAGGTGACATTGAGAGGGGAGCTGAGACTTCCACACAGTCACTTGGCACAGGATCCAGGATCCTCGCCAGCCAGTGTCTTAACCTCTGTGCCAGAAGGGCCCTAGACTTATCTTTCAGTCCGATTTTCCACAAAAGTTTTGAAGTCCTTCCATGTCTTTGCTTTGAATGTTATTTACAACTATCTTTTAAAAGAGATCTTCTCTCTGTGTCTTACCCTAGGTTACCTATCGAAATCGAGTTGTGAGCCAAAGCCTCAGCACAAGGGACAGAAAAGCAATGCATACTCCCACCGAGGACCGTTTTAGATACTCAGCGGCCGACCAGAGCAGCCCCTACAAAAGCAAAGCCTGTCAGCTCTCAAGTGTATGTCTCAGTAATTTCTTGAAGGACAAGGAACTGGCTGATGTTATCAAACACTCAAGAGGCTCTTACGATACCCTCCCGTCAGAGGTCGCACAGAACTTACGGGCCACCGGTGGGCAGAGCCCTCTGAAGCCGACAGCGAAGACGGAAGGGCTCGCCTCGCTCTTAGAGAAACCCAAGGACCCAACCGCTGGGGCCCGCCAGCATTCCAGCTTTACAGGCAGGTTTGGCCAGCCTCCAAGAGGGCCGATCTCTTTACACATGTACAGCAGGAACAATGTGTTCCTCCACCACACTTTACACACTGCTGAGCTGCAGACTCTGGGCCAGCAAGATGGGTAATGAAATCGCCCAACCTGTCTCTTGGTGGGATAAAGATGGTTGGTGTTTCTCGTGCATAGTTCATATTTAAACCGTCATGTACTTTTTATTGCCTTTCAGTTTTAGTCATAAACAGATCAGTGAATTTTTTTGTTTGTTAAAGACTGAAGGTTCGAGCATGTTAATTGAATTAAGTTGAACTGCCTTGAGGATTTTACTGTAATATGTATAAATAATGGGACCATCTTGCTGGTTTATATATTCCATAATTCACTTATCTTTTATCTCCATCACTGATAGGCATTGAGGTTTCAGAAGATAATAATATTAAATAGGCTCTGTTCATTCTGTTAATGGTGTTAGGTAGAAATAGATCAGAGGAATAAATAGATAAAAGGATTGTAAAGAAGTTTAAATTATATAGTCATTAGAAGGAAGAAAATAAGAGAGATTTAAAAGTCTTATATTTGCAGGTATATGTGTTTGAGGTTGGAGCTTGCTTGCATGTAAACTAGAGATACATTTGTCTCTCTATTACATACACGCAGGCTTACCTTATGGTACTACAAAAGGGAAAGGCTTCTTTAAAAAAAATCCTTTAAACGTTTAGTTCGCACTAGTACACGAAGGATTTCAGACAGAGTAATTGCTAGCCAAATAGAGAATGACAGCTCTGATCTTTGAAAAACTTTGCTTTTAGTTTTTCTATTAATGTTAAAGTACCACGACATAGCACTGTGAGGTGGTAAAGTCAGCTGAATCTCATCATATGGTGCATAAAGCATGACATGGTACACTCCTTGAGTCACTGTCATGGCAACATCAGCCTATTTTTAAAATAGGATATTCTAAGAAAAATATTCTTTTACTTCAGTTTATATTTTTACAACGTTCATTTATTTTTTTACAATTATGTACATCAAATTTTACTTCATATACATCAACCCATATTTATAACTTTATGAACTGAAGAGCAGAAGGTCAATCTTTTGGTCATTATTATATAATACTCTGATTACGCAGTCATCAAGATTTAGAACACACAGCAAAATAAATGCATTTGTAAACACTGGCGATTCGATTTCAGAAAGAAGTCTCTAATAGTAATATTTACAACTCATTTGAAGGTGAATATCTTGTGTTGTATATGTAAGCACACATGAGCTAGGTCAATAAATCAAAATAAAATAACTTCTTTATGTTTAGTTAATAAGAGAACATTATGAATGAGTAGAAATAAATGCACAAATAAATAATTTTGAAAGGCTTGGTAGGGAATAATGGCTGCAGTTTTCCTACACAAAGATCAAAGCTGGTATCTATACTCACTGTAGGCATAGTCCACAAAAATTGAAACTGTCATTCCTACTGCATGATCTGTTTCCCTTGTATTCTCTGACAGAAAACACTGGCATGTACAAATGAGATGAATAAAGGGAAATTGGATAGCAGTTCTAGCATGGCACTTGACTACCTTGCTTAAATTAAAGCTTTGTACAAAATGCATCTACTAATGTAAAATGTAAAATGTTTTTCAGCTGTATGCTTTGGAGAAAAGCACCTCCTCCCAACTTTACTCATTGAACTTTGATAAATTTTCAAACTTTGGTAGAATTGATAGAGTAAGGAGTCTTAGTGGATATATTGTATTCGTAATTTTGATTTTCCAAAAGGAAAACACATGTGCATCAAGATAAATGGTTGCCAAATGTTTTCTTTCTTTGTGTGTTTGTAATTCTGCCAAAAGAGAACAATACGTGCTGCAATTTGCCCAACTTAATGAGACTGCTATCTCAAAACCCCATCATAGGAGCTATAATATTCATGCAGATATACATTTGGGGCTCATCAATATTTAAGATGCTAGAAGAAAAAAAAGATTATTAATTGTGAAATTTAATTTGATTTGTCCTGAAAGTTGGTGTGCGTTGCTAGAGTATTTTAAATTTGTAAATAAATAAGCATGACAAAATAATCAAGGATTTTTTCCCAGGATATGGAAAAACTATGTATCACAAATAATGTTTTTAATTTGGACTTTTGGAGTTTATAGTTTTTTTTTCCTGGAAGATAGACTTTTGAATTATACTTTGTAAAAAATAATCTATTTAAGAAAATCTGTCATTTAATAGACATTTTAAGAGATGTTTTAAACACTAGTATTTTCTTGAAAAATCTTTTTTAAAGCTGAAACATTCAAAAAGAAAACCTGGTAAACCGTTCAATTTTAAAAGGAGGGGTATTTTTTTGGAAATATCATCTTAAAGCTGTTTTGTATCAGTATTTTCAGCATTGTTATAATATTATTTGTAATACTAAGTGTAACTCAGGCCTGGAGAAGGTGTAAGCCCACGATGCTGATGTACATCAGTAACTGTGAAGCAGGGGCCCTTGTGTGCTCCTTTTATGTGTCTACAGTAACTCATAACAGTGGCATATGGGCATTCTTTCAATGAATTGATTTCTTTGTACTAAAATCTCTAGTTTTCTAAGACAGTTCCATGTATAAAAATGATTTCTACATTTCTCCAAGGCGGTACATATCCAAAGACATGACACCAGGGGGAAAAAGTGCTTGTTTTTCTGGCGGAAGCGGTGGTCTTTTCCTTTCCTTCCTCTTTCTGTGCATGTGAATGTGTAGCTAACCTGAGTAACTCTGTAAAGTGTCTGCTGCAAATTGTCTCTTCTGAATTCAGAATGTGTTTTAAAGGACAATTAAGAAGAGATATTCCTTGATCCACCTGAAATAAACTGTTCTCATTTTTTAACTGTTGGAACATGAAGCGGTATTTCTATGAGTAGAGTCATTTTTTTTTTTTTACTAATAAATTTAAATGCTAACAGAGTCACCACAAAACAAGCAATTATCTCCTGAAGTATTTGTGCTTCTTGGAAGCATCATTGTGTCCACATGACAGCGTGGAACTTGCTGCAGTGTGGACTGTATGAATCTATCAGTATCAACATGTTCAGGGTAGAAACTTAGAGCCACAAGATACTCAGGCTATTGATAACTACGTAAGTAAAATGGTAAGCTGGTAGTCATTGTCAAACATTTGTAGGCATATACTTAGGATGCAATATAAAATTTTTATGAAGATTTTCATGATTAATCTGAGATTTGAGCTATGTTTTACTCCTATATATTTTCCAAAATTTGATTCTAGCCATTGTCATTATTTTCTGAATGTTGAGCTCTTACTGAATTCAAAGGAAATTTTATACTTTGTTTTGTTTTTCTTTTGCCTTGTGTGTTTCAGAGATAGTAATCACTCCTCCAAAAAAAAAAAAAAAAAAGCTAAGAATTTCTTTTTAATTATCAGGTATTTAAGGAACATGTCACTAAGATACATGATCACTAGCCTTCTCAGAAACTTTCTAGTAACTCAGCTGTTGATTTAATGTTAGGAGCAGTTTATTGAGTGATAAGTGTTATTTCTGCATCATTCATCATTGTCACCTTCCTTGCTATCAAGAATTAATAACTCACAGCAGAGAGTAACTGGAAATACTGGGCATTTATTATTCTTATAATCATCATCTTAAAATTATAATATCTTAATTATAATCTCATTATATCGCCATTTTTACTTTCAAAACTTTATATTCTAAACAACTATCAAGTAAGGAGTACCTTAAAATGCCCCAAGACTCTCCATTGATACAAGCTTTTATGAAAGCAGAACAGAGAGGGGGTTGCGACGATTGTCATCTGTGTAACCAAATCGCACATGCTGCATAACAAGAAGCATTTCCTCACTGACACATCAAATTCAGTGTGGCACTGAATCGGTTATACATTTTGGTTGCCTGCTTGGATTTAACACTACTTAGGTGTTATTATTACATCCTCTCACATATTTTCCTACACAAAGGCATACACGTATCCTTTTGTAGAAGAAATATTATAAGCATGTATGATATTCTTTGGAAACTGGCTCCTTGGAATTTAAACTTTTTCAAATGTCTTACTCGTTTTCCATGTTATGTTTTGTCATATCAATGCTTGTTTATATCCAATTACATGATAGGGTTGATAGAAAATGTAAAATCATTTTGATTCTTATGAACAGCTGAACATTAATATAATATTAGTACAGTCAATCAATCAACAAACAAAACCAAAATGCTTACTTCCTTAATAATATGCATCATCATTGCCAAATTTTTGTTTTTCATATCTTGTTCTTTGTCAAGTTCTTTTGCCAGTAGTCAGAACTACAACCATATCCATGAGCCGTTTACCTATATTACATTTGATAGTGCTAAGGACTCAGTTCTATTTCCAAGGATTCAAACCAGCAACAAAAATAAATAGATATCACCCTATAGTTGCATTACCTCTGGAAAAGGAAGAAAGCAATCGACCATTTTTATAATATGCAAATTTCCAGGGACCGGCGCTGTGGCATAGTGGGTAAAGTCACCGCCTTCAGGGCCAGCATCCCTTATGGGCACCGGTTTGAGTCTCGGCTGGTCCACTCCCGATCCAGCCTTATACTATGGCCTGGGAAAGCAGTGGAAGATGTCCCAAGCCCTTGGGCCCCTGCACCCACATGGGAGACCTGGAGGAGACCCTTGGCTCCTGGCTTCAGATCGGCACAGCTCCAGCCATTGGTTTCCAATTGGGGAGTGAATCAACAGATGGAAGACCATTCTCTCTCTCTCTCTCTCTCTCTCTCTCTCCTTCTCTCTCTGTGTAATTCTAACTTTCAAATAAATAAATAAATCTTTAAAAAAATTTCCAGATGCTTCCAAAAACTTAAGGCACAATAAAACTCCTTAACTAATAGACCTAAAGATTGAATCTCTTCTATATTTCTTTATATAAATGGGATGATTTGTTTTTCTCTGGTTTAATCTAACATATTTTTCCCTCTTAAAAATTTTTAAAAGGCACCTTTCGCATATTATCATCCTTCCCAAACATTTCCTTGTTGCTTTAGAAAGCTTAGTTTTTATACCAAAATACCATAAATTGAGTCATTTAAACAGCCAATTTTATTTCTCACAGATTTGGAAGCTGAGAAGTCCAGGATCAAAATACCAGTAGAATCAGCTGCTTTTTGGTTTGCAGAAGGGAGACCTCATTGCTGTGTTTTCATATGGTAGAGGCAGGGTTCTGATTGCACCCTCTTCGTATAGTCACTTGTCTTACCACTGAACCCTCCTGATGTCCTCTAAACCTCATTACCATCCAAAGGTTCCACCTTCAGTAATGCATGACATTGTGATAAAGACTTCAATATATAAATGGGAAAGGAGACACTTTCTATTCACAGCCTTCATTCTTAGCTGACAACAACCTGATTAGGAAGTTATTGTTGTACTCTTTCACAGATTAGATCAGAGAGGTTAGATGTTTTTCAAGGACACACAGTATGCTCATTTAATTATATTGGATTCCTTAAGCCTTGACCTTTTCATTTGTATGCTGAGTAGGCCATATCTTAAAAAAGGCAGAGCAAGCTAAGTAACATGTATTGTTTTGATTTCTTTTATTCTTAAATTTTCATTGGTATTGCTGGAGGATAAAATTTAAGCAATGTCCTGTTTTAGCAAATAAAATGTTATGCATTCAAAACCATATTATAGAAAAAATATTGATGTTTAAGTCAATAAAATAGAATTCTGAGAAGAAAGCTTTTCTATTTCAAAGTAACCTCCTAGAAATACTGATAGACTAATTTTTCTTTCCTTAAGGCTATTGGAAAAATAGTAAGAAATTATTTCATATTATATATTTTATTTTTAAAGGTTTATTTATTTATTTATGTGAAAGTCAGTTACACAGAGAGAGGAGAGGCAGAGAGGGAGAGAGAGGTCTTCCATCCACTGGTTCAATCCCCAGTTGGCTGCAACAGCCGAAGCTGAGCCTATCCGAGGCCAAGAGCCAGGAGCCAGGAGCTTCTTCTGGGTCTCCCACGCGGGTACAGGGGCCCAAGGAATTGAGCCATCTTCCACTGCTTTCCCAGGCTGTAGCAGAGAGCTGAATTGAAAGTGCAGCAGCCTGGATTGAAACCAGAGCCCACATGGGATACCGGCACTGCAGTTGACGGCTTTACCAGCTATGTCACAGCGCCAGCCCCACCATATTATATATTTTAAAGTAAAAGTCCATTAGGGTGTCTGAGAAGAGAGGATATACACTAGATGAATCAAACAATTTATCATGTTATCTTGTTAATTCTTTCATTTTTGCAAACATTAGAATAGATATTGTTGAATTCAGTATGACTGTGCTGCTGCATATACATTTAAAAAAGCAAGACCTGTACAAAGTATCTTAAATACTTCTACCCAGGGACATAAATTACCATTGACTTTAATATTTCTTAAGTACTTAGAAGGAATTTAAATTTAATGTGAAATAGAAACGTACTTGTCCTAACCTTTCAAAAATACTTCTATTTTGTGGTTAATCACAAATAATAAAAACCTAAAAATATCTAAATGAAATATAATCCAAATGTAATTCTCTCTTTCAAAATCTTGGTTTTAGGAATTCAAGAAAATTCAAATATTTACCTAGCTACACCGTAATTCTAGGAGAAAAAAACCTATTGGGTGTAATGCATCCTAAAATATGGGCTTGAGATAATTAATATTTGCATTATTTTCTATACCTCATCTCTAAAACTAAAAAATCAGTGCAAAAACAATAGATAGCAAATAAAACATTGAATGCAATGGTATGATTTCTTTTGTAGCTCTTGATTTCTCAGTAAGCACAGTAGTTGCATTTAATGGAAATCTCACCATTTGACTAATATTCTGAGAAAAGATTGATACATTTAAGTATCATGAAGAGAAAATGATACATATTTCCTACACACAATAAATTTCAACACTACAAATAAATTGTGTGGTACCTGATTGCTTTCAATATGACATTAATTTTTTCTGAAGCTATCTTGGTGATGGATTTGCCTACACATGTGTTCTCACTGGATATAAAACATTGTGATTTATTTCTAACTTCTTGAGAGTTGTGATGACTAGAAACAGACAAATCAGCTACTTATTTCATCCGTCAGTTGAGATGATTTCTCTTTCTACTTTCTTGCAACTGGGATTTTAAAACTTTTTGAGGTATAATAATAAGGTGCAACATCCCAGAGACTCAGGGGAATATGCTGCTACATGTAATTTCACTGGTTGTGTGGTATATTTCTCTTCATTTGGGGCATATTTTTCTCCCCAGCTTTTACAATTGATCATGCTTAAAAACATATCTCACCAAATTGACTTTATCATTTATTATAGCCTAAAAATATAAAACTCTTCTAAATTCTGTCTCTCTTTTTCTCTTTTTCTCTCTTATGCATACACACACACACACACACACACTTAAAGTTTCCTAGAACTGGTGGAAGATGGATGATTCATAACAGCTACTCAAGCATTTGAAGCCTTGTAGCCGTTTGACATTAATGTCCAGCAATGGGAAAGAATGTATACTTAAAAGGCTATCATAGTGACTTGAAAGCACACCCTCACATTATATATTTAAATCTATCAAGTGTATATGTAGCCTTAAAGCTTCAGAGTAAATAATGTTTTGTTGTATACTCTTACGAGATTTCAAAAAGCTGAAGTAAAACAATATGATGTATTGTATAATTTAAGTATAATGTGACCTTAAGGATTTAGACGCCATCCATTTTCCTGACTACAGAAAGCCTTGCTCTTAATACTCGGAAACCTTTTTTCCATAAATAATATCAAAGTACATTATATTGATTTTTTTTTACTAAATTGCTGAAGGTGTAATGTTGTAGGGGTTACT